AACCCTAGAATCTCTCTAAATATAGACATTCACTATAAATACAATTCTATTTATAACACTCCCCCTTGAATGTCTATTCAACAGATAATGTGCCTCATTAAAACCTTAACTAAAATAAAACCCAGTGGGAAAAAAATTCTAGAGAAGGAAAAAGAGTACACATATCTAACAATACGCCTTTTGGTTGCCTTGTTAAAAACTTTGCAAGAAAAATCCAGTGGGACAAAACCTTGTAAGGAAAAAAGAGTACAACGCGTATTAACTCCCCCTGATGAGAGCATCAATTCACATCCTTAAGCATTTGCATTCCAATCTTGTCACCATCTTCAAAAGATCGTTGGTAGATATTTGATAAACAACATCAGCCATATTAACTTCAACGAATTTGTTTCACCTTGAAATCATCATCCCTGATAGATGTATTGTCTTCATATGATCTTGGTGGAATCATCATTTCAATATCTTCACATAGGGGTGAAAACTCTTGCTATCATATTATCATGCATATAGTTATAGCAAGATACAGTTGTGCACAAATTGCATTGAGGATGTAGTGCTTCATGACCATGAATTCTATATGCTTTAAGCAATTTAAATCCTTCAGGAATTGTTAAGTTATATAAGCCATATAATAGACTTTAGATGCATATCAAGTTTTCATGTCATGCTAGACATATAAGATATCGAAAACTGATTGCACATACCATTGACTTTATACTTTCAAGTGTTTGAACTATATGTTCAAAACTACATGTCTTTCATATGAAACCAATTCTATTCGAATTGTTTCTTCGGACTTAAGATCCTCATATATATATTTAGCGCTATCATAGATGTCGTCGACATTTTATATCAGTTTCAATATTTTTTCATAAAGACATAACATAGAGATATGTTCATTCATATATTCAGGTACCTGAATCTCTCATGAGATTTTATGAAGGGTTATGTCATGTGATCTTCTAGATCACTTGCCTCTTTTATTATGATCATTTTGATCATTTGCTCATCTTCTTTATCAAGAAGTTTATTTAAAACCGATTTGTCTATACGCTTTAAGCGTACCATAGACTTTGTCCTTCTAGGACTTATTCCAATAGGAGCATTTGCAGTGAGATATAGTTACTTTCTTTGGGCCAGCAAATGCGTCTGGCATGCTTTGCAATATATTGCAAATGAATTATCCTTTTATGAACTTCAAGTTCATATTATCTTATTCGAGGATCTAGATGTACAAATGATAATTCATTCCACGTAACTTTTTCTCAACTGTTTATCATGTCTCCCCCTCATGTTAGAAAAACTAACTTGTTACCTCAACTTTGAGAATCCACCTTTGTGCGTTATGGTGTTAATATACACCGCACATCAATAATAATAAGATGGAATTATTTGGTTCCTGACCCTGAACCACTTGTGAGGGGAGAAAATAATATACTTTGGTATATAACGTATATCAAACTGATATACAAAATTTTGTTCTCATAAGCAATAGTTTAGCTATTAAGTGGAGGCACTCAATAAGTCATTTTGCTAAACCGACTTATCAAGATGAACTTCTTGAATAGAAAATCTGGAAATTATGCTCGAAATTAAATTATTAAGCAAGTTACCTCGCAAAACACCATGTTGCGGGTTATTAATAATCGCACATGTAACCATCTCATAGATGCATCTTATGTGGTATACATGGCAGGTGAATGGGCCCATATTCACCTTTGATATTTTCAGCATTCATGGAATTCAATCCCAATTTTAGTTGGTATATTAATTAATGAAAACAGCCAACATAAGAGAATTCGTAAAGAACTTTCTAGTTCTTTAATATTTACCCATGTGAATTCTCTTTTATTTTTGTACATCATACTTAAATTGATATGGGTAAACCAACTATGCCAACTGAATAAATTATCAGTATTGATAAACTTCAGATTTACACCAGGACGTGTGCAATAATCAATAAACTCCAAGTTTATTATGATATGGGTTTTTATATCAATAAACATCCACTTTAGTATGGTATTCTTTTATTTGTGTAGTACAAATTGGAGAATAAAGCAGGTAACTTTTCACATACATATTATCCCGCTACAAATTGTAGTAATAGAAGATATTAAATCTTTCCTTTATTTATAGTCTCAATATAATCAACCGCTTTCGCGAATACCTTAGAAACTCAATTAAGTTTCTTTGAGACTTACTACAACACAATACCTTATTGGTAATCAATTGCGTTTCTCCAAAATAGTATAATTGGCTCTTGCAGAGTTCTCAATTAATTTTGTAGTACCACATATTTATCAACATCCATATGGTGAATATCTCTTTTAAAGAGAAAGTTATACCATTATGGTTATGGTCAAAATTATATGCAAGATCTGTTTCTTGCATTACCGTTATTCTTTAATAATCACATTACCAAAATATTTTGGCGTACAATAGGTACATGACCAATGACCATTCATGCCATAACAATGACATTGTTTTCTTATATCATCTCAAACCTCCTTCCAGAGGTGAGTGCGTGGTATATTCACTACCACCGGCACGTTTATATTCTTCCAACAATGAATATGTATTCATAAATCACATGTTGTCACATTCACATCATGAATGGACCATAGTCATCTGTATGTGCTTTACGAAATCTTATGTCAAATCGATGACAAACATTAACTTCATAGAATGAAGGCTTAATTTGAGAATCCTTCATAAAGAAGAAGAAGAGTATTGCAGAGAAAAGTAGAGGGAGAAAATTCTTATTGTTCTCATTACCACGATAATGACGATTATAATTTCGTCTATTACCACGTCCACATCCATTGATACCTTTATGGTAATAATTTTGTCTTCTTTCAGACTTATTGCATATTGCTATCACATTCTCTTAAGGGAATGAGAATGGAGCAAATTCAATGGGACGGGTTTCCACTTCTTGTGCTCATAATCATACAAGAATTTGATCACGGCAAGACATAGAAATTTTACCACTTTGGGTGGTTATAATTTCTTTCAAACTCCATTAGAGTTACAATCAAAATTTATTGTCTTTGCTTGTATTTAAAATAAAATTTTAGAATATCAAGAATTTAAAAGAGAAAAATAAAGTAAAATACTTACCTTAAATCCAGAATTTAATCATGAAGGAAGTTCATGGAACAATTGACAATCATTATGCTCCATCCCAAAACTTCTACTCAATTGGTTAGAGTCTCGTGCTGATAACGTGTTATGAAATAATAAAAGTAGAAGAACAATATTGCAGAGAAAGAGAGAGAAATGATTCTTATTGATTTGGGATGAATTACAATGGAATAGAACCCTCTATTTATAGGGAGAGGGTGACTTAGCCACCAAGCAATGAACCCTAGAATCTCTCTAAATATAGACATTCACTATAAATACAATTCTATTTATAACAGAAATATTGAAATAGATTATAGCATTTGATATTGTTTGAGAATTGGGACCATGAAATTGATGGCATATGTCCTGTATGCACGTTTCCTGTTGGAAATGAAACTAATTCACTATTTTTACCATTTGAAATTTGGTTTCGTTGAGAGAATTCGATTAATAAGTCGAAAATCACTTTTTTTTCTTAATTATTACATCGAGAATTGGTAAATGGTACTTCGTAATATTATTTATTCTTCATTGTTACCTAGACTGGAGTTAAAAGTTGGTTTTTCTTTTTATTTGCAGCTGTTAACTTGACAAAACCATTGCTAAAAATCTTTAGCGTGATGTAATGATTTTACTAAAAATCTTTTCTTCAATATTTTCAGAACCGACCATTTATAATTTAACAATGAGTGTAACCAGGAACTTGAATGATTGTTGCTCCTAATTGCAATGTAAGATTTAAGTGTTTCTACATCAATATGTTGCAAATCTATGTTTCCATAATCATAGGTTTTTATGTTTAATAACAGTACATAAACGTGAGGGTGAGGGTCTGGGAGAGAGAAACGTGGGAGGGGTGGGATGTACGGTACCTTGAATTAAGGAGGGATATACGCTGCATTAATTGTACCCTTAAAATACACTATGGTATAGAATTGGTAATTTGGTATACTAAGTGTAATTAAGTCAAACCTTAAATATTGATGGTAATACCTATGTGGCATAGGAATGTAAAAATTCCTAATTTATATTTCGCAGATAAAAGTAAAATGGAAAAGGAACTTGGATCGGATTAGGCAATACGAAATTCAAGGGGGAAGGGCACAAACAGTCGTTTTTAGGACCTTTATTTAAAAAATAGCCAAAGTTTACATAAGTTAAAATTTAGCCGTTTCAGAATCAAATTTAGACTTGCATGATCGAAGTTGAAAATTAAGGGTCTGAAGTTTCAAACTTCAGCCATTGGAGTCTGAAGTTGATGGCAGTTCAAACTTTAGATATTTTGTCGAAAGTTAGGCCGAATCTCCAAATTTAAACATAAAAATCTGAAGTTCGGAATTGCCAAGCTTAACTTCAGATAGGCTAAAGTGGAATATAATTGTAGTGCATGCGATATAACCAAAATTGCAATGTTCTCGTATTGATCATGATTGAATAACTTAGATGACTTGGTTTCTAGCTGGTCATTTTTGCATCTCGAAGTTGGATGTTCATTTACTTCTAAATCCAATAAGGCGTTGATGTATTACGAATCACGCAACATTGTCCTACTCGAGTCTAGACTGAACCCATATTCTATGACACGCGTAGATATACTGAATATCACGTTTTGAAGCGAATTTTCCGAAGAAAAGTTTCAATCAAACAATTATTATTTCTGCTATGTGTCTGGAAAATGAGGAGCAGGAGAAGGAGGAAGAAAAAGAAGAAAAGCAACGGTAGCACTAATTTTGTTTGAAGTTCCCTATTCAGGTTAAAGTTTAAATACTTTTAAAAAATTGGCTAAATTTTAAATAGTACATGTAAAAGCGGTACTTGTGCAAATTCTACAAATTCAAACTAATAGGCCCAATCCCTTCTTGGGTGGGCAATAAACATAGCACCCAAATTCCAATACCCGACCCAATTTCAGATTACAACCCGATTTTCTCTCGCTCGACTTCAGTCTCCCTCAGCTGCGAACTTTCTCCGGCACTGTAAGTTCCCCACACTGTAATCCCTTTTTCAGTAGAATTGTTGTATACTTCAAATTGTGCACTAATTATTTGTTTTTGCTACCAATAGTTGGTTATTTTTAACTAGTTAATTTGTAGCCTTGTTTGCTTCCCACACAGTAGCAATTCAGTATGTTTCTCTTGAAAAAGCGAAAGAAATAAGGTGACGAAAGTGGAAATATTTTCATAATTTGTCATTTCTCTGCTTTGTTGTTCATGTTCATGTTATGTATGTTTGTGTGTAACTGTGTATGCATAAGTCTGGCTTTGGCTACTTTTGTTTGTTCGTCCTTGAATAAAAACAAGTCCTATTGGTGTATCATGTGCCAGCTTGCGCTCTCCTCGACATTCCACCAGATACCAGCTACCTCCCACCAACACAGATATTGAGTAACTTGGCCGACCAAGTCTTAGACACATGTGAAGAAATCACCGATAAGGCTCGAACACAATTTAAGAAGAAATAGCAATTGAGCTCACCTAAAGGACAAACGAGGAAGAATTGTCCTTGAACAGTTGCTCGAAGTAGAACTCCAATGGAGTTCTGATAACAGAGAAAGATGAGAAAGAAAGAGAGTTTTCTTATTCCAATCTTCAGATGATTACAATTTTGGGAAAAAATCAACTATATAGGAAGAGGTGGGAGAGTTAGTTATACTTCCGGAACTCAAAATTCCCAGCACTCCTCTGCACGTGCAAGTCACGTGAGTTCTAATTGAAAACCTAACGACTTAACGACTGGAGCAACTGAAACTAACATCTATTACATTTACATTTGAGCTCATTAGGATCGTATCAAATTACCCCCCTCTACAGAATATCCTTGTCCTCAAGGATCAAACAAAGGGAATCTCCTTCATGGTATTCTTCCCAGGTACTGTCTTCTGGTGCAACATTAAACCATTTGACCAAGACTTGAGTTGTAGCCTTCCCATGCTTCTGTATCAAACGCCTATCAAGTATGGCTTCAGGTGCTAGTAGGACATGACCCTCTGCAGAGAGTACCACAGGTAAAGTGACTGAAGCAGGGTTAGATCCAATCTTCTTTTTCAGCTGTGAAATGTGGAAAGTAGGGTGGATCTTTGTACCCACAGGAAAGTCCAAAGTATATGCTACAGCTCCTACTTTAGCAATAACCTTGAAGGGTCCAAAATATTTGAAGGAAAGTTTCTGAAAGCCATGCTGCTTAAGAGAAAGTTGCCTGTAGGGTTGCAGCTCGACATACACCCAATCTCCTACTGCATATGATCTGTCAGTCCTTCTTTTATCAGCTTGTACCTTCATTCTATTATGAGCTTTTTCAAGTTGAAGCTTCAATAGTCTGAGAGAAGCGGCTTGGAGACTTCTATCAACCATGTCCAATTGGGAATCAAAGCTCATATAAGGGAGTAAGGGAGGAGGTTTCTGACCATAAACTACCTCATAAGGTGTCATATTAGTGCTGGAATGGTAAGTGGTGTTGTACCACCACTCTGCTAAAGGCAACCACTGTGGCCATGCTTTTGGTTTCTCAAATGCCATACATCGAAGGTAGCATTCCACACATCTATTGACGACTTCAGTTTGGCCATCTGTTTGAGGGTGGTAAGCTGTTGAGGTCAGTAGTGAAACTTTCTGCAATCTAAACAATTCCTTCCAGAATTTGCTGGTGAAGACAGCATCTCTATCTGAGACAATAGACTTGGGCACTCCATGGAGTCTGAATATTTGATCCATAAAAACTTGAGCTACCTCCAAGGCAGTGTAGGGATGTTTGAGAGCTATGAAATGGGCGGCCTTACTCAAACGATCTACTACTACAAAAATCACCTCCTTCCCAGCTGCCTTAGGAAGACCCTCAATGAAATCCATTGAGATATCTTGCCACACCTTATCCGGAATAGGTAGAGGTTGAAGCAACCCAGGGTAAGCCACAGTTTCATTCTTGCATTTCTGACAAACATCACAACTTCTTACATGAGTATAAACATCCTGCTTCAATTTCTTCCAATAAAAGTCCTGTTTGATCCTCTTCAAGGTGGCAGTAATGCCAGAATGGCCACCAATAGGACTATCATGGTAAAATGACAGAAGCTTAGCTCTGACTGTATTATCAGCACCAACCATCAGCTTGTTCTTTCTGCTCAATATCCCATCTTGGAATTTGTAATAAGGTTTGGTGGCTTGCCCCTCCTGTATAGACTTGATAAGTTGTTGAAGTGCAGGATCCTTGCTCCATGAAGCTTTGACTAACTCCAAAATGTCAGAATTGACACTAGAGATGCTGTAGAGTTGAATGGTTTCCCCCTTCCTAGACAATGCATCAGCTACAATGTTCTCCTTCCCTTTTTGGTAAGCTATGGAATAATCATAGCCAAGTAACTTGACTAGCCACTTTTGTTGACTAGGGGTAGTAATTCTCTGCTCCAACAAGTACTTAAGGCTATGGTGATCAGTTTTGATGATGAATGGTCTTCCTAGTAAGTAGGGCCTCCACTTTTGTACAGCAAAAACCAAGGCCAATAGTTCCCTTTCATACACTGATAGGGCCCTATTCTTGTCTGATAATCCTCTTCTAAAGAAAGCAATTGGTCTACTCTCTTGAGCTAAAACAGCTCCAATTCCACCACCAGAAGCATCAGTCTCTACTGTGAATTGCTTTGAGAAGTCTGGGAGGGCTAAGACAGGTGCTGAAGTGATGGCTTTCTTCAGTTCTTCAAAGGCATTTGTTGCTGCAGGATTCCATTGGAAGTTACCCTTTTTGAGTAGATCAGTTAAGGGCCTTGCAATGATGCCATATCCCCTGATGAACCTCCTATAATAACCTGTCAATCCTAAGAAGCCCCTTAGGCTTTTAATGGAAGCAGGTAGTGGCCAATCTAGCACCCCTTGTATCTTCTGATTATCCATGGCTACTCCTTGCTCAGAAATGATATGGCCCAAGTAGTCAATCTGTGTGACTCCAAAGGCACATTTACTTTGTTTTATAAACAAAGTGTGAGACCCGAGCACTTTAAAAGCCTCCTCCAAATGCACTAAATGGTCATTCCAGCTATGGCTATATATTAGGATGTCATCAAAAAAGATTAGGATGAACTTCCTAAGGAAGTTGTGAAAGATCTGATTCATTAAGCTTTGAAAAGTAGAGGGAGCATTTGTTAAACCAAAGGGCATGACCATGAATTCAAAATGGCCATGGTGGGTTCTAAAAGCAGTTTTGGGAATATCTGGTTCAAACATTCTTATTTGGTGGTATCCTGATCTTAGATCCAGCTTAGAAAAATACTTAGCACCATGCAATTCATCCAGCAGCTCCTCAATCACAGGGATTGGGAACTTATCCTTCACTGTGCAGCTGTTCAGTTCCCTGTAATCCACACACAAACGCCATGAACCATCCTTCTTTTTTACCATCACAATAGGGGATGAATATGGGCTAGTGCTATGTCTGATAACTCCAGAGGTTAACATCTCATTCACCATCTTCTCAATTTCATTTTTCTGAATATTAGGATACCTGTAAGGTCTAATATTGATAGGGGAAGTACCTTCCTTCAGAGTGATTTTGTGATCATGCAATCTAGAAGGAGGAAGTTGTGTTGGCTCTTCAAAAAGATCACTGTACTTCTGTAGTATGGCCTGCACCTCCCAGTTCATATTAGGTTCCTTTGGTAAGCTCTCCATTGATAACAGGCTGATCTCCATCTCATTCTGCTGGTGCTCAAAGAAAAGTCCCACAGAAATCATGCACAGCTCAGCAGGTATGGCCAACAACTTATCCGTGCTAGCCTGTTGAATCATTCTTGTTGCTGGAGGTTGCACACCCCTTAAGGACACCTTGTGCCCCATAATACTGAATTCCATCCTAAGTTTTTTGAAATTCCACACGATGTCTCCCAAGGTAATCAACCATTGGACTCCTAACACCATACTACAACCTCCAATTGGTAGCACTAACATGTCAGAATCAAAAGAGACACCCTGTATCTTCCATGCTAGTTTTTTGCACATATAGTTGCTCTGCACCTTCTTTCCATCAGCAACAGATACATCAAAAGGGGCTATGGCTGTCAATATACACCCTAATTTCTTGGCAGTGTTAAGGTCCAAGAAATTGTGAGTGCTCCCAGTGTCAATCAGAACTTGCACAGCCTTGCCTTTGACTGATACAGTCACTCTCATGGTTCTAAAATCATGGAGCCCATTCATGGCATGAACTGATACATGGGGTCAGTGTTTTGGAGAGCGCAAAGCGCAAAAAAGCGACAAGGGCTCGCCTCGCTTCAAAAGCGAAGCGCAAAGCGAAGCGCACGCTTTATTAAAGTGAAGCGCAATTCTTAAATAACATAATGTAAAATTATAAATAATCAAAAACATCAATTTAAATACTTAAAATTAGGTACTAGGTACCACCAAATCATCCACAAACCATCCACAAACCATAGGACAAGCAAAATCAAAGCTACTAAATTACTAGAAGTCAATCAACATCTTATTCTTCTACTCTTCTTCTTCTTCTTCAAGATTGTCAAAATCTTGAATTCCTCTAGTATCTTCATATTGCTCGTCATCTTCTTCTTCCCCCTCCTCTTCATGATCACTTTCCTCTTCATCAATTAGGGATAGGGATCGACTTGTAGTAGTCACACTTTTTCCCTTCCTAATAGAGCTTGAAGTTGGAGTATATCTCCTTAAACCATAAGGATTCTCCCCAGTTCCACTACCAACCGCAACATCACCCCAAGTGAAATCGGAGTCGCCTTCAAATACTTCTTCATCTTCACAATTTTCGGGGACTCCGGTTAGCCACTCATTAGCCTCATCAATATTGTCCAAAAGAATTGGATCAATTATATTGCGGTGGTTGTACCGACGCCTCAATGCTCTATTGTATTTTATAAACACTAGATTATGGAGACGCTTCAAGGTTAGTCGATTCCTTTTCTTTGTATGAATCTGCAAAAAAGATGTGTCAACTAATTAGTATTTAGTAGGAGTTTGGACAATTGAGATATAATCTACTTTATCTCAAAACACGAAATAATTCTTTTTATTTCTCACGTGTTCAAAAACACTCCAGTTCCTTTCACATCCGGATGAGCTACAAGTTAAGCTTAGAACTTTGATGGCGAAAGTCTGTAACTCCGGAGTCTCTACACCATATTGGTCCCACCATTCAACTATAGAAGTCAAAAAAATATTCAAGAGTTAATAAGTATAAAAAATACATTGAAGTTAGAGCTATAAAATATAGAAACACTTGGTCACCTGGCGACTTCGTCGTTCTTTGTTTAATAGCAAGTCGAAGCTTAAAAAGTCCTTCAGCTGCCTTGTAAGTAGCAAGCTGATCTACTATCTTTTCTTGCAAGTCTTCATCTGGGTTCAACTTGATAACAACCTGATGGAATCCTGTCCACACTTCTTTAGCCAATGAATTCTTCTCATGCTGCTCATAAAAGAGTGATGGGTTCAGAATAAGTCCAGTTGCATGCAAAGGTCTATGAAGTTGCTCATCCCATCTTGCATCAATGATTTGAAAGACCTTTGCATATTTTTGCTCATCACTGAATGATGCTTGAATAGTCTCCTTGGCCCTATCCATAGCTTCATAGAGGTAGCCCATTGATGGTTTTGCCTCCCCATCTACCAAACGGAGTACTTTAACCAAAGGGCCACCAATTTTAAGAGCATGAAGGACATTATTCCAAAAAGAATAAGAAAGAATAATGCGTGCAACCTCTTTCCCCGCACTTTCCTTTGCAAATTTACTCCTGCTCCATTCCTCTGAAGTGACCATCTTTCTCAAATTGTCTTTTTGACAGTGGAGACTACGCAAAGTCAAGAAAGCAGTGGCGAACCTTGTCTTGCCCGGTTTCACCAAATTTTTTTGCATGGTGAATCTTCTCATCATATTCAATAACAAGGGCCGCTGACAAATATAAGAATGTAATCTAACGCCCTGGCCAAAAACTGTAGAGAAGGGTCTTTCCTTGAAAATATCCCCGAACATCAAGTTGATACAATGAGCCGCACATGGAGTCCAATAGACATTCTTGTACGCTCCTTCAATCATGCCACCCGCTTTCACATTTTCACTTGCATTATCAGTGACCACTTGAACAACTTTGCTTGGACCAATCTTTTCGATAGTGTTCTGAAACAAGGTGAACATTTTGATGTGGTCGGTGGATGAGTCACTAGCATCAATGGACTCAAGAAACAAACTTCCCCGGGGAGAATTCACCAACACATTAATAATCATTTTCCCCGTTCTTGCCGTCCACTTGTCCATCATAATGGAGCAGCCGTACTTGTTCCACACAACTTTATGCTCCTCAACAATTTTATTAGTCTCCTCCACTTCCTTATTTAGATAAGGACCTCTTATTTCATGGTAAGTGGGAGGCTTCATTCCAGGTCCGTATTGACCAACGACCTCAATAAAGTCTCCAAAAGTGTCATAGTTGACACAATTGAAGGGGAGCCCAGCATCATAGACCCATCGTGCAAAAGCTCTAACTGCACGATCCCTCAAAATGTCTTTAGCAATTTTTTGTACATCTTTTCCACCGCCCTTTGCTCCCGGCTTCTTTGAGAAGTAGCAATCCATAGGACCTTTAGTCGATGATCCATGGCTTGACCCATCTCTTCCCCGTTTTGTTGGAAGTGACAATTCTTCAATATCATCATCATCATCATCATCAAGATTGGTCACCATTGGTTGATGAACCATTTGATTTTTTTGCTCCTTCTTCTTCTCAACAAAGTTCTTTATTTCTTCCCTCACCTCCGGTGGACATTTCGGACAACTTGTGACGTTTCTATCGCCACCAACTAGATGGTATTTAAAGCGATAAATGCCACCCGTTGTAATCTTGTTGCAAAACTTGCATACGACATTTGTATTCTTCTCATTAACTCTCTCACCATAGCGCCAAGCCGGGTCTTTCTCTTTCGAACTTTGAGACATTTTAATATCCCTATTAAGATATAAGAAAAAACATAATCAATAAACTGAAAATACATATAATATATATAATAATTAATTATATAAACTGAAATATACATTTAATTGTATATGCTGAAATATAATAATAATAAATGAAATACATATAATAATTAAATATATATGCTGAAAATATACACAAACGAAAAGGAAAAAGAAAGAAAAAATTGTTCCTTTATCCTTAGTCCTTACTCTGTTCTGGACCGGAGAAACAGAGAAAGAAAGAAAGAAAGAAGAAGAAGAATGAAAAAAAACCGAGAAGAACTGAAGAACAGAAGAAGAAAGGAGAAAGGAGAAGAAGAAATTACCTGGGTCAGCAATGGCGAGTGTCGCGAGCGAGAAAGGAGAACTCGAGCGAGAGAGAAAGCGTCAGCAATGGCGTCTCTGCTTTTGGATTTCAGCTTCAGCAGGTAAAAAACCCTAGGTTTTGTGAGTCAACTCTGTTTTGTCGAAGGGGAAGGGGTTTTTGGTCGATTTAGGGTCTGTTTTGTCTAATAAAATATCAGACCCAAAGTTNCAGAGTTTTTTTTTTTAAAAAAAAAGACCCCCTGCGCTTTTCTGGAAAGAAGCGATCGCTTCATCGCTTTATCCGCTTCGCCGCTTCATCGCCTTCTCCTGTGAAGCGCTCGCTTTCTCAGATCGAGTCGCCTCAGTGTGCTGGAAGCGACAATAGGTCGCGTCGCGTCGCTTCGCGCTTAAAGCGACGAAGCGCGCGCCTTTCTAAACACTGCATGGGGTAGAATGGATCCCTCAGCATCAGTCTCCCACCCGTGGCCAATCATTGACAGTAGTTCTGCAGGATCAAGAACCACATCATGTTCCAACTCCACTTCTTCTACTCCCTCATCTACTTCCATAGAAAACAACTGTCTCCTATTCTTACATATGTGGCCAAAACTATACTTCTCATCACAGTTATAACATAACCCTTGACTCCTCCTCTCCTCCATTTCAGCTGGGGTTAATCTTTTAGCATTTCTGTAGGCAGGTTTTGTAGATGAGGTATGAGTGTGTGAAGGTTTACTGTAAGGTTGGCTAAATCTGGAAGTCATTGAGGTGGTTGGTTGTGAAGGTTGAGGGTTAACAGAAGAAAGTTTTGGAATGTGTTTTAGTAGAATAGGGTGGAATAGAAGTATTCATGAAGACTTGTTTTTGGACTATTAAAGTTTGCTCCTGAATTTTTGCTAAACTGATAGCCTTAGCTAATGATCTAGGTGCTAGCATTTTAACAGGCAAGCTAATTTCTGGTTTCAATCCCCTCACAAAACAGCTAACAACATACTCCTCAGACAACTCCACTCTAGTAAGCAATTCATCAAACAGATCAACGTAATCTTGTACTGAACTTACCTGCCTCAAGTCTTTGAAATCTCCCATGGGATCGTCAAACAATTCAGATCCAAATCTGGCATACAGACAAGCTACATACTCTCCCCATCGTGGCCAGTCTCTAGTGATCCTGTGCTTCATGTACGATTGATGCCATTGTAGTGCCCTGCCTTCCAACTTACAAGAAACAGCTCGCACTTTAGAGTCCTCAGGTGTTTCCTCATACGCAAAAATCTGCTCACATTTGTACAACCAATCCTTCAACCCTACCCCATCGAAAACAGGAAATTCAGTGTGGTACTCACGATTAGGATGTTGATGACCTCTAGGGCGATGGCCCCCCACATCTGGCCTTTCATTCTCCACAGGTTCCTCATGGTTTTGAACTCCAGTTGCAGTTAAATTCCCCACGATCAACTTCCTAATTTCATCCATAGCTTGAGTCATTCGATTGTCCACCGATTTCTGTAGTTCGGATACAGAAGATGTGACTGCTTCGATCGAGCCCTTGAGGATATCGACTTCCTTCCTCAACTCATGCACTCGAGTGTTGTGATCGCCCATTATCACAGATCCAAGGAGCGAGTGCTCTGATACCAATGATAAGGCTCGAACACAATTTTAGAAGAAATAGCAATTGAGCTCACCTAAAGGACAAACGAGGAAGAATTGTCCTTGAGCAGTTGCTCGACTGATAACAGAGAAAGATGAGAAAGAAAGAGAGTTTTCTTATTCCCATCTTCAGATGATTACAATTTTGGGAAAAACTCAACTATATAGGAAGAGGTGGGAGAGTTAGTTATAGCTAACTTCCGGAACTCAAAATTCCCAGCACTCATCTGCACGTGCAAGTCACGTGAGTTCTAATTGAAAACCTAACGACTTAACGACGGGAGCAACTGAAACTAACAGCTATTACATTTACATTTGAGCTCATTAGGATCGTATCAATCACCTGGTGTTTTTTGCTTTTTTTTTTTTTTTAAAAATTATGGTGGTGTCCGGGCCAGCATGCACTCTACTCGACATTCCACCAGATACCAGCTGCCTTCCACCAGCACAGATATCGAGTAACTCTTCCGACCAAGGCTTAGGCACATGTGAAGAAATCACTTGGTGTTTTTTGTCTGGCATTTGAACTTGAGACCTCATGGTTCTGCTCCCCTATGTTGCTCGGACTCTCCTAGATGTTGCGGGTTGCGTGTCGGATTAAAAAGTAGTGTATTTTTGGAGGATCCTCTACCTTTTAAGGATCCAGCAAGGGTGCGGCAGCATTTTGGAGAGTCCGCAACATAGCTGTTCCCACTTCACTGACCACTAGGCCACACCCTTGGATGCTGTGCAGTTGCTTAAATTCTTCTTTTGCTTCAATAATAGTGGTGAGCAGGGTAGCTTTTGCGCACCTTGACTATTGCACCGGGTACCTGATACCTCCCACGAGCACAAATATTGAATAATGTACAGTTGCATAACTTCTAACTGTATGAATCATCGAGGATGTGTTGTATGAGTTATATTGATTACTAACTGTACTTTTTATCCCTATGAGTACCATTAGTAGGTATCTTTCAATGTCAGATGAATCACTGCTGCAACCCTTTTTTTGCAGTCTTCATAAACTTGTTCTGAGATTTTTGCCTGTCAACTTAACGGCTGTCCAGACATTGTGATAGATTACAGAGATGGTCTGTATCTCTAGCTGCCGCTTGGATCTAGTTCCAGGTTCCATTCTCCATCACACACGTGTAGTTTGGCTCTGTGATTTCAACTAATCTGACATAACTTTGTGAATTTACTTTAGGTGTCTTCTGCCCCAAAATTGGTGGAGTCCGTCTGAGACTACCATCTCATAGCATGAGTTACAAGAAGAGCACATTCAGAAGTCATGTTTGCAATCGGCTTGTGTCTAAAAAGGTTCATTTCATTTTTCTTCTTTTTTAATGATAAATGTCTTTAACTTGGATTTTTTGGAATTCGCAGGTGACTGGTAGAAGCATTACGCATTTATCTCTAGCTGGTCATTCTGTCAAATGTGCTTCATTTGCTGAAAGAAACTACCAATCTAGTGTCAATAACGATGAGGATCCATTTCTAATAAACACTATGAAGCAAGCTATCAGGTACGTTAATTACAGAGGATCCAAAACATATTATACTTGTGTGTGTGTGAAAACTAGAGCATTGGCATAACACATCTTCGGCAAGTGCATAGCAATAGAGGTAAGCGAGAGAGAAGATATCAACTTACCTAGCCTAAAGACCTTTGCCCAATATTTACTTTCTGGAGCTACAAGCTCCTCAAATCCCTTTATCAAATTAGTTATATCTTCAATTTCGTCTAGAAATAGGTATTGATATCTTGTTTATATGAGAATTTCCTTTTCAAGAATGTCTATATTGGATTTGATGACTTAATTGCATTGGTTGATATGTGAATCAACATCGCACATCTGAATCTGATGACTTGCTTGAAGTTTCGCTAGCTTCTCCAATATATTCTCCTTGGCTTGGATATTCATTTTTCAATAAAAAACTTGCGTGGATATTTTGAGATCCTTTAATAATTGTAATTTAAAAAGTTTACTAGATAAAATGTTTTAGATGATGTATTGATAATGTCCTGAAGTTCCGTTTTTAATGGCTCAGGGCTGCAAAATCTGTATTACTATTTCTGGTTGAGCAGCCAAGTCAGCTGAAGTACATAGAATGGCCTGGATTTCAAAGCACGGTTAGTGTGTAAAACGTTTTCTTTCTATTTGGTAATCGTTGTCGTATGTGGCCGGCACAAGGTGCTGATAATGTGTGTTACACCAAGTTGTTATCACTCCCTGTACTTGTTGCATTGGAGTAACCAGCTCTACATTATGTTTGGCTTGTTACTTCAGCATCCTCAGCTATACATTCGAGAATAGCATTTTCAGAACTCAGGTTCCTAATTTGTTACTGTCATTCAACTAATTCTGTGATGGATTTATCTATTTTTTTTATTTTTGATAAGTATCACACTGTTGAACTAAATACTCTTGTTTCAGTTGGGCAAATATAAAGTAAAACAATTATTTAATAGTGAAAATTGATTTCCATTATCAAGAAACTGTAAAAAACTAACAACGCCTTGGTTTTGGGCCACACATTGATATTTGCTATGAAAGCTAGTTCTAGTTGGTGATTCTGAGACACAACTACGGAATTAGTAATTTGTTTCCTACTTTGGTCAATACCTTTCTGCTGGTTTTCCACTCTGAGACAAAACTGTGGCAGCATTTTTCTGCTCTTCTGAAGGGAAATAATGTCATCTGCTCGTGCATTTAACCCCTTGAGTTGAATCATTTTGTCGGTAGTTTCAGAAAATTTTCGTTTCTCTCAAGTTAAGTTTCTCATTTTATTTGTTTCACTATGCTTATGGCTTGTTACAGTCAGTGTCTTAATATCCAACTTTACCTGAAAATAACTGGAGCACTAGATTTTCAAATAGAAGAATTTTTGGATAACTGTGGCGCCTTTGAAATATCTGCACTGTTGTAAATGTTCTGCTCTAACTGTTGCTGTATTTTGCATTTCTGAACTAATTGTTACAAATCGTCTATGTCAAAGCTGTAACAGCATCTTCCATTTTTCGTCAGAAGCAAAAACATTTATTTACCCAAAACTTTTTTGTTCTTGAGAGTCTATTCTATGCTAAATACAATGTTGAATTACAGTGATTTGATTGACTCAGAAATTACGCATAATTTCAAAGAGTGTTTCTTTATTTGTGATATCAATACATGCAGTAAAACTAATCGTTTCTCCACTTGCTGCAGCTCAAGACGGCAACACTGGCACTTGTTCTGGTTGGACTGTTTATCATTGCTTTATCGTCGATTGATTCTGCCTTGTCTTACATGTTGGCTCTATTTTTGCGGAGAACAGCATGATTCAGGATATATAAGCTGGCTTCAGTCAAAACCAACTCCTTCGAATGGTGCTCCCTGTATTTGTTTGCTTCTGGCATAAGGCTATGCTCGACAATACAAGATTGGACTAACTCGAGCAGCATGAGACCTGCAGCTTTTAAGCATCTGCTGAATACGTCACCACAGAGAAGACCCTTATGAGAGAGTGTAGCATTATACTACTCGTGGTACTATTGCTATGGTAGTCTGATAAGAGTCTGTAAATTTGTCTATTTGTTGATTACTCATTTATGCACTTTCTTAATTTGATGATAGACATTGAACTGGTTAATGGTTCTCGACTTATGCTTTGCATTATGTTTACTAGAATTGGCTTCTCTTCTTGAAGCGAGAAATATAAGAGGTGGTCATCTCGCATTAACAATTCTATCTTGGATAGCATATGCAGTCATACGAATCATCTTGCCTATGGAAACTAAAAACAATGTGCGATTTGTTCATGATATGGGTCACAGGGGAGTGCAGAGGCAGATGTACAATATATAGGTTCGGCATAATCCTATAGCTTTAATTTGGCCTAGATCCTGTATGTGTTGAGAAATTCACAAAATATGTACATATAATAAAGGGTGAAATAGTGGCACAAATGGGTTGCGTGTTCCGGAAGCGAGGAGTCGCTAATTTTCATAAACTTTAAATCCTTGATCAGCTTTTAGGGAACGTAAATAAACCATCATGTGTCATATACTCCATCTGTCTCAAATTATCTGTCATATTTCCCTTTTACACGGTCAATAAGAAACATTAATTAGAAGGGGTTGCTGACTATTTTACCCTTATTTATGTATTTTCATTGAATATTTATTCTATTTATCTGTCATCTCCATCTTCAAGAAAAATGAGAAAAAAATAATTAATTTTATCTTGAACTTCTAAATGACAAATAATTTGAGACAACTATATTTTAGAAACCATGACAAAGAATTTGAGACGTAGAGAGTAGTAATAAACACACCAAAAGTACCCTTCGAATGTAGTCTTACTAAATAAAAAAAAGTGCATTCTTTTTTAATAAAGAGAAAAGAAAGACACATAAAATTGAAATGGTGTGCATTTAATATATTAGTTCATGAACTAAACAAATAAAGTGAATGAATGAAGTTTAATATTTCAACAATATCTTGATCAAAGCTTCTTAAAAAGAAGATTAACCCCATGTTTGGGTTCAAGAACCAAACTAAAAGTAGGTGAGTGTACATAATTAGGAAAAATGGAGATAGAAAAGTTGGACAAAATAAGAGAAATTAGAATCTTGAGTTCAAGTAAAGCCAAGTTTTGGCCATAGCAACAAATGTTTTTAATGTTGATGGTGATATATGCTTAGTGTAATCTGCATTTTCTCTATACACCACTCCTCTTCTCATTTTTCATTTATTCATCTAGAGAAAGCAAAGTAATTCATTGTAACTTGGAAAAATGACACTGTATAGCCACTCTCAAAACAATAGCCGAAAACAATGTATATTTTTTGTATATTATATACTAAATTATATAAATATTATACACTTTTTCGACTACCGAATATAAATAGCTTCCGACGCAGGCTAAAAGTTAAAAAAAACCCTTGTAACTTGTAATTGGAACTACATACACATGACCTGGGCTCATTTCCTAGTTAACAAAAGATGGAGATTTCTTGGCACATCCTAATGCAAAAAAAAAAAAAAAAAGTATTTTGATGACCAGAAATCCACCAGCCTTCGAAACTCGGGGATGATTGGCTCGCCTCTCTACCCTTCTTCACTTAAGTACCAGAGTTAGTCTGCTTGGTGCAAGGCTCGAACTTGTGACCTAAAACAGAAGTCCCTCAACCTTTGTCAATTGATAAAATTCCTGGGGGCATGGCATTTATCGGTGGAAATAGCATATGCTAGCCAGCTTTCGGACTGGTAATTGAAAAATAATCAGCGTTTATGAAGTCATTGAAAAATAGTCACTATTTTGCTGAAACACGAAAAGTTCTGGCATAATATGTGAGATTATGGAGCTCCTGCGTATAAACTTCCTGCATATTATGTTGGAACACTAGCACGTGGAAAGTTCAAGCATAATATGTTGGATTATGGAGCTCCTGCATATAAACTTCCCACATATTATGTTAAACCTCCAGCGTATTATGAAATTCCAACACATTATGCTGGAAGCTCATATATAAAAATTCGAACTCCAGCATATTATACTGGAATATTTCCGGATTTTTAAGGGTGTTTTTATTTCGATTTTATCTTTACATGAAAAAGTGGCTAAATATTGATTACTTTTGAAACTATGGCTATTTTTTAATTCGCAGTTGTAAATCTGGCTATTTTTTATTTTTTTCCATATTTATCAGTGAACAATAGATTGTCTACAATTCAGTTATTGTGTGTTGTCATAAGATGTTCTCTTAAAATTGTTTCTTCATTAAATAAAAAGGGAAGATATCTGCTTACTTCCCATGCTATTGTTTATTCCACCAGAAATAACAAGCTGCAACTGATAAACTATATTGAGAACTAAGAACACATGACTTACATTAAAAACAAACATTAGATATTCCATAAATATAAAGCAGTAGTAATTTTCAAGAAATTCAAATGGTATATATATATATATATCTCAACTATGGTCTCCTCCACCTTTCCTTCCAACACATTCTGAAGCTGGCCTCTGTCCTCCAAGACAAAGCTGCAAATCCTTAGGACAAGTAAGACAGTTACGTGCAAAACTTCCGCGAACGCCTTCTAACGTCCTGTTAAGCTCTCGGGGCACAGGTCCCTCAAGATAGTTATATTCCAAATCAAGACTTCTCCATGAAAAACCCAACCTCGGCCAATATTCCGATGGAATCTGCCCCGAAAACAGGTTATGTCCAAGGTTTATCTCCGTTAAGTTCGGGTAAGTTATCAAGTTTACAGGCAAATGACCACGTAGACGATTACCATGGACATCCAATGTATTAAGCTGTGTTGCTTTATCAGTGAATTCCACCACTTCTAACACAGTGAACCGGTTCACTGAAACGTTTACGTGACTAATATCAGGCAACATAAACACCCCCTTGTTTATCGCTCCTGAAAACCTGTTATCACTAAGGTCTAATATCCTGAGACGACGAAGTTTATTCACAGGTGAAATGTGGCCAGAGAGTAAGTTATGACCAAGTGATAATGTTTTGATCTTCAGTGGAAACTCTGGCAAATTCCCATATATTTGGTTATTTGAAAGATCAAATGAATTCAACTGCCATAAGCCATTAAGTTGAGGGATTTTACCAGTCAGTTCATTGTTAGATAAATCTAACTGAGTTAAACTTCTAAGTGAAGTAATAGATGAAGGTATTGAACCGGATAATCTATTATTTGACAAATCAAGAACTTCAAGTTTCCTTAGAAAACCAATGCCATTAACAAGACTACCCGAGAAAAAGTTCTCGTAAAGTTGAAGACTTGTGAGTTTTCTTAAATTAGTAATAGTCTCTGGCACTGGTCCTCTGAATTTATTCCTGCCAAGATTTAGAGCAACAAGTTCTGTTAAGTTTCCTATTGCTGGTGTCAAGAATCCCTCTAGTTCATCTCCTTCTAAATCGATTTCCATTATCCGGCTTGTTGAGTTATTGTCAAGAGGGATTGTACAAAGAATGCCTAAGAAACTTGTCCCCGTCGTCTCACAAGGATCTAAGGCAAAATCCCAACTATTGAGAAATGATTCTGAGGAGATTGAAATTGGATCTATTGACATCTTGATAGCTTGTAGAGCTTGAATATCGGATGGTAGAGTTTTTGCATTGACAAAGATCGAACGGGAGTTTAGGTTTGAGAGGCTAAATATGAAACTTGTGTATAAGCAAGAGAAGAAGATGGGGTTAAGTAATTTGGCCATTTTTGTTGATTTGAGTGATTGAATAATATGGTTAAGAGCTTCTTATATGAAGTTTTGAAGTCAGAAATGGAAAATTGTAGGAAGGTCATGGAAAATGGATTCTTGAAAGTAGGTTATAAGTGTGGATATTGTGCTTCATTAGTCTTGTTCCAACCTTCAATATGTATAAGTTGATCATTTTTAAGTTGTGAAAAATTAAACTTTCTTTCTTACTAATAAAACTATATGTTGACAATCATGAGTAGGGGCGAAGCTACAATAGTTGAAGGATGGTCAATTGAATATCCTTTTGACGGAAAATTACACTGTGTATATAGGTCAAATATTAATTTTATACATGATATAAAGTCTTGAACACCTTTAGTGAAAGTCCTGGCTTCGCTACTGATTATAAGGTCAATTATTTAATACATGCAAGCACACTTGCATATTTTCACAAATATTCCATAGTGTAAACAATCATGAGGAGGGGCGAAGCTACAATCGTTGAAAGGTGGTTAGTTTAATACCCTATTGACGGAAGATTATACTATGTATATAGGTCAAGTATTAGTTTTATACATAATATAAAGTCTTGAACACCTTTAGTGAAAGTACTGGCTTCGCCACTGATCACGAGGTCACTAATTCCTTAATACATGCAAGCACACTTACATATTTTCACAAATACTCCATAATGAAACCAATGCTAACATGTTGTAACATATACTAACTTGTTGTCACGACCCAAAATCCACTAAGGGTCGTGGTGGCGCCGGACACCTCTGTCAGGCCAGCCAACTAACTTATCAATTAATTCCTCTTTTAATACTTTTAAAAATCTAAGGTTTTTCCTTCCATTTTCATAAATAAAAGTTCACTACTTGAATTCAAATTTAAATAATAACAATTAGTACAAATCCGTTGAAAACCATCCCAGAAACCCGGTGTCACAAGTACATGAGCAACTACTGATAAGAGAAATAAAATACAATATCCGTCCGGAATACAGTGGACGGAAAGTAAATACAGTACACTGGAAGGGACTACCCTAGCTGCAGTCGCCTCGAATGATGCAGCTCACCTAGTCCCAGCGTCATCCATGCTGCTACGCCCAATAGGCTGCTAGAGGTATATATACCTGTGCAACAAAAAAGCACAGAAGTGTAGTATGAGTACGTAATCAACATGTACTCAGTGAGTATCCCGCCTAATCCCGAAGGGGTAGAGACGAGATGGTCAACTTCGACACTCACTAGAGGTCAATTAACAATATTCTATAAGTGCGAGGATAATCATGGATTTATATAGAAGTTCTAATTGTGAAGCCATAAAACAGGTAAACACCTTCAACAACAAATCAAGGGCCTCCAAGGTTTATTCTTTATTATCTTATCAGTTTATATCAAGCCACGTAGGGCCAATTGCACATTTACAATTTTCAAACAACAGATAAACATGCGCAAATCACACCGAGGCGACGACCCGCTCCAACAGGAATGTAAACTGTGCACTGCCGAGAGTCGAGCGGCACGAACCATAGATGCATCTATTCTCACCGAGGCGTTCGGCCCGTTCCATAAATAAACACATATCCTGCTCGCGAATCGTCCATGCGATGCAGGCACATATAAAGTACTTGCTCAAGTAGGAAACTAAGAGTTTATCGAGGATAATCATCCAAATAGACAAATTTCTCTTTTTAACATTTTAGGAAAAATTAATATTAAATCTCTTTTTTAAATTTCTTTACCAATTCAAGGTGATTTAAACAATTCAAACTATCAATGGGTTCGCAGTTAATCCAAGTATAACATGCTTTTTTTGGGTCCTAGCCTACCCGAACAATAGCATAATAGTAGCTACGCACAGACTCTCGTCACCTCGTGCGTACGTAGCCCCCACAAATAGGAGCACATAACCAATTTAACTCACCTATGGGATAAATTTCCCCTCACAAGATTAGAAAGGAGACTCACCTCACTCCGAAGACTCATAACCGGCATTCTACATTCTTCCGAAGACTTGCACCAACGTAAAATGCTCCAAAACTAGCCAATGATTATACAAATCCATTAATATATGTTCAATTAAACTTTACAACCCAATTTGTAACAATTCTTAACCCCGAACGAAAAGTTGATCAAAACGCCCTCGGGCCCACGTGCCCGGATTCCAAAATTTCTCGAAGATATACTCTACCCATAGCTTCACTAGCTCAAATATATAATTTACTCCTAATTCCATGCTCAAATTCGTGATAAAATCCAATTTATCAAGTTTCTAGGTTTTCTTCCAAAAATCTCAATTTTCCCACAATTTTTATGTCTAATTCCATGGTATAATCTTGTATTTAACTTGGAAGTGAGTAGGAGTAACTTACCTTAACATAGATGACGAAATCCCTTCTTGAAGCTCTCCAAAAAATCGTCCATGCTTTGAAGAAATGAAGAAAAATGAGCTAAACCCGCTAAAATACCATTCTACCCAGGTATTTACTCATCGAATCGTGAAAAATGCTCCGCGATCGCGGAGAACAATTTTTCCAGCCCAAAATTTACTCTTCGCGATCGCGGAGCACAATTTCCCAGCCTTCCGGACAGCCTCTAGTAGAATAGTCATAACTCTTTGCACACAACTCCAAATGACAAATGGTTTAATGTTATGAAAACTAGACTCAAAGATCTACAACTTTCATGTGTTGGTAATTTACCATTTCCTTATATATTTCTAGATATAATCTGTAAAAGTCAGCCCATGTGTAACATAACTTTCTTCATCATCTTCCCGGATACCCTGTAGTGTAACAGCCATAACTTTTTGTACACAAATCCAAATCATGAATGGTTTACTTTTCTAGAAACTAGACACAAAGGGCTACAACTTTTATTTTTATATCATCTCAAAATTACTTATAGATTGTGAGATATAAACCTCCGAAGTCGAGTCAGTGCAGCAGAATATTTACTCTACGCGATCGCGAAAGGCTTTCCACGATCGCGCTTCACTGGCCCGTGTCTCACATTTTACTCACCGCGATCGCGACCAATTCCCCGCGATCGCATATACCACTGCTGTAGCCAAAAACTAGCAGTTATAAATGGCCTAGAAATGGTCCGAACCACCCCGAAACTCACCCGAGCCCCTCGGGACCCCGTTCGGACGTGCCAACAAGTCTGGAGACATATCATGGACTTAGTCGAGGCTTCAAATCACATCAAGCAACGTCGAAATCACGAATCACGCCAAAATTCGTCTTTATGAACTTTGAAATTTCTAACTTTCACATCCGATGCCGAAACCTATCAAATCACGTCCGGTTGACCTCAAATTTTGCACACAAGTCACATTTGACGTTATGGACCTACTCCAACTTCCGGAATCGGATTCCGGTTTGGGGCTGTGTTTGGGTTGTACTTCCGCATTGTTATGATATTATTCGCTCTTTAGCGTTATTAAATCATGTTTTAGCCTGTTGTACTGTTGTTTAGCTATTGAACTTCGAATTGGAAATGTGTCGGCTGGACTTGTCTTCACGAGAGGCGCCATCACGACCGGGTCTGGGTTTAGGGTCGTGACAAGTTGGTATCAGAGCCTAGGTTACATAGGTCTCACGAGTCATGAGCAGGTTTAGTAGAGTCTCGCGGATCGGTACGGAGACATCTGTATTTATCCTCGAGAGGCTGCAGAACCTTTAGGAAAAGCTTCACATTCTTGAAACTCTTATCGTGTGTCCTTTATTCAGCTTGAAAAGTAACTCTTGAGATTCCTTCCACGCGTTTGTATGCGCACATGAGCGCTCAGTATCAGATGTGCATCGATGGCTTGTGATTCCCTGATTGAGGGGCGAGATGTGATCTCTATGTGCTGATGCTTGAAGCCGGATTTTTGTCAATAGCTTGAGCACCGAGGTGCTGATTGTGTGAGCACGTGTTTCTGGACCTATATGCTCTGTTGTGTCCCTATTAAGGGAAGTAATGACTGGATAGCTATGTGATGAGTGTGATGTGACTGTGAGATGTATTCATATGATTTGGAAGCGACGAGAAGGGTCTGCTGGAGGATAGAAGAATTATTAGTTGCTTGATTTCCGTCTTGATTCGAGTTTTAGCCCCGAGTTATGGGCGTGTGATGAATCCTTTCATGTTTCC